TGCAATGCACCTTCCACCTTCCAACGCTTAATGCACCAAGTACTCCAAGGATTGGACTAATATATCTGGATGATATTATCGTATTTTCTCGCACATTCGACGAACACCTTTCCCGCCTAAGATTAGTTCTCGATCGTCTACGAGCGGCTAACCTCACTTTGAATCCGAGTAAGTGTTTCTTTGGCCAACAATCTGTGTCTTTCCTTGGTCACCTTATCTCCCAACATGGGATCCAACCTAACCCCGAGAAAACACAATTGGTACGTGACTTCCCTCGTCCTCGAAGTGTAAAGGACATTCGTGCTTTTATTGGCCTTGCAAGTTACTACCGCCGGTTCGTGAAAGACTTTTCATCAATTGCCGCTCCCCTCACTCGGTTGACCAGAAAGAATACCGCATTTAAGTGGGATGAGTCATGTGAAAGAGCCTTTAATTGCCTGAAGAACGCCCTGGTTACCCCACCGATTTTGGCGTATCCAAATCTCTCCCACCCCTTTCATCTACATGTTGATGCCAGTGCAACCGGACTCGGCTATATTCTCGGTCAGAACATCGAAGGGCGAGACGTTGTCATCGCATACGGCGGTCGGCAACTCAATAAGGCTGAATGTAACTATAGCACTACGGAACGGGAAGCAATCGAGGTTGTTGAAGCTATTAAGAAGTATCAAGTTTACCTTTATGGGCAAAAATTCTATGTCCATACAGACCATCATGCATTACAGTGGTTGATGAGCATCAAAGACCCCACCGGCAAACTGGCACGATGGGCCCTCCAGCTTCAACAGTATGACTTTGCGATCATCCATCGCCCAGGCACATCGAATGGTAATGCCGATGCAATCTCTCGCTTACCATACTCAAATATCCACATCACAGCCATCGACACCCCAGGAGTCCAAGTTGACACCATTCGTCATCTGCAACGCCGAGATCCAGACCTGCAAAACCTGATAACCTATCTCGAATCTGAGGAACTGCCAAATGATCAACGCGTAGCCAGAACTTTGCTCCTCCACGTTGATGATTACTACCTTAACGACGACCGTATCCTCTGTCATCTTTGGTCCCCTGGCAAGCGAAAGGCTGGTAATCTCTTCAGCCAACTAGTAGTTCCGGCTTCTCTGCGTCACGAAATCCTTACTAATGCTCACGACGACACTACTAGTGGACACCTAGGAATTCAAAAAACCTATGAGAAGTTACGGCGAAAATACTATTGGTTTGGAATGTTCAAAGATATCGAACATTGGTGCAAATCTTGCATTGACTGTTCTATGAAGAAGTCGCCCCGTTATCGCCGTCAAGCCCCACTTCTTCCCATCCCCGTCGAAGGAGCATTCCACCGCGTAGCTGTGGATGTTCTCGGTCCGTTTCCCGTAACGAATTCTGGCTCGCGTTACATTGTCGTCTTTTCGGACTATTACACGCGTTGGCCTGAGGCATTCGCCGTACCCTCTTGTGAAGCTCACCGTATCGCTTCCCTTCTCATTAACGAGATCATGACGCGACACAGTGCACCCCGGACCATCCTTTCTGATCGAGGTAGTAACTTCCTGTCAGCCCTTGTCAAGGAAACGTGCAAACTGATGAACACAGCTAAATTAAACACAACTGCTTACCATCCCCAAACTGACGGGTTAGTAGAGAGGTTCAATGGTACCTTGGCACAAACCCTTTCTATGTATGTTAGCACCAACCAAAAGGATTGGGATGAACATCTTCCACAAGTCTACCGAGTATCTCCGAATGCTACCACTGGAGAGTCACCGTTTTACTTACTCTATGGTCGTGAACCTCGTCTCCCAATGGACGTTAGCCTACTTCCACCTACCAATCTTAGCCCGTCTGTAGCTAAGCATCGCGCCCGCATTGTGACAACCCTTGAGGAAGTCAAACAGCTTATCCAATCCAACACCCAGCGGGCTCAACTTAAAATGAAAGCCAGGTATGACCAGTCAGCGCGTCAACCTCCGTACACAATCGGTCAGAGAGTGTGGGTTTTTACACCAAAAAACCGTAAAGGGTTGTCAAAGAAACTGCTCCACAATTACCACGGACCGTACCGGATCGTGGAAAAATTATCCCCTGTTCACTTTAAGCTGCGAACCTTGGAAAACAAACTAGTTCACGCTCCAGTTCATGCAAACCGATTAAAACCATATTTCGATCCGAAAGATCGGCCGATCGAAGCCCCGCAAGAAGATCCAGATATGGATAGTGAACCATATCTTCATGATCATGACATACCAGCGGACAGTTTCCCCTCCTGTGTATCTCATGTCTCTACAAACTGCCCACCACTTAGTCATTCTAATGACGCACCAGCGACCCGGAGTAACCACATCCGCCCAAGAAAATGTAAACCACATCTATGATGCCGAGCAAATTGTTGGTCATCGCGTCCGCCATGGAAAACCTGAATATCGTATCAAATGGCGCGGATATGGAAAACGGCACAATACGTGGGAACCACCAGACCACATTTTGGATCAACGTCTTTGGACAGATTTCTATGCCCGACATCCCGAACACCGTCCAACAGCAAACGTTAACAATTAATCTTTAATAAATAAGTATTTTATATTGGTTCAAGTTAGTTTTTCCTCTGAACAAGCCAGGGGGCTTGTGTTTTTGCAGAGGGGGTAATGTTACGAGATAATTATAACAATAGCAATGGCATGCGCTGAACACGTGAACAGTCCATTTTTAAGTAGTGACGAAGAGACGATAATTAGTGGGGAAAAGTTGGGAAAAGTACGGACCATGAGGAGATTTTGTTTTGGAGGCTAGGAAGAAGATATGTGATTCAAGTATTGACGAATTGAGTATTTTAGACGCATATTTATGATAATAAAACAGAGCATAACATTACGTGTGACAGTATAATTTAATATCATAACAATAGTATAAAATTACAAAAGGCCAACCGAACTAAATGTCCGCAATATGTTCCATTGACGCTGAAATTCCAACGTTTTTGATTGGATGAAATCTGGCGTGGGTGACGTTGTGATTTTGAATCTGTTAAATAAATTAAATTTCGTGTTTTGACTTTTTGGTATCGAGTTGTTGCAGATTATTTCCTGATATTGTCTATTTCAAATCAAACTCTGTGTGCGCATTTTGATAAACGTTTTAATTTAGTAATGGATAAGGGAGTGCAAGTTTCATGTAAATTTGGTAAAACGGCAAAAAAAATTGCACCTCGCAAACTATATCGTCCTATTTGGCATGAAAGACGCTGTATCACAATGTGGTGGCGAAGATAGCAGTTATGGTCGAAGTGAGAAGACGACAAAATGGACGTACGATCACACCCGTGTCACATATTCTCAGCGGCTGTAACCCAAGATTTCTCAATTGAGAAGTGCAGGTCTAACCCAGGCCAAATGATCATCTAAATCATTCAATATAATATTAAGCGACCAATCAGAATACTTGATATAAAACAGTTTAATCTTTGATTTGGTTGTATTTTATTAGTATTCAAGAAAATTTCGCACTTCACTTCGGCGCAATTTTTTACAATTATGCGAAAGGCGTGCGTAAAAACTGTTGTGTTGGGAAGAAATGGAAAATCGTCAATAACTACACCGTTAACTGTTGATGTAGAAACAACAGCTTCAAATAAGCATTCGACAAGCCTCCACGCAGATTTGCATAGTGACGAATCGTGCGATTTGCAAATCGATCATAACGCTCAAACGCCTCATGAATTACCAGTCGTTGACGATTTAGAAAATGAAGAATCGGCCACACAAAGAAGAAATGTTAGTAATTATCTCAACTGGGAAAAAATTCGGCCTCAATTGCTGAAAGCAAAGTTCGAAGATGCGATTTTACCGAGTGGTGTCATGTGTGGTGTTTGCTCTCAAAATGAAGCCAATATTCGCTGTAAATATTGTGGTCCACGGCAGTTTTTTTGCGAGAACTGTGCTATTGAACAACACGAAAGTCGAAATAAGTTTCACGTGATGGATAAATGGATGGTATTGTCTATTATTAATGTTGATTAAAAAAACTTTAAAAATATGATAATATTTGCTAGCTTTTAAAAGCTCTCCTCCGTGGCTTAATTTCTATAAGGAGAAGCCAATTTAATGGCATAAACGTACGTCAAAGATGTCGTTTCATTCTATAATTTCTTATTCTATTTAATAACTATTTGCAACCTACATGTTACATATTTTCAAGATTTTAAAGATGTTGGTCTTTTGCAATACTGTAATATGCTATTTTCACACATTCAGTAAGACTTAAAAAGTTAAAATTCAAATGTGTTCAGGCAAATTAAACCTGCTTTAACCTACAAAACCTACATTCTTTATTTCTTAGGAAACTAAGTTCATCCCACTGTTTCCAGACAATTCTGTAATTGAGTGGGCCCACAATTGTGGGACACAAATTGTCAAGTTGTTTACACTTATTGATGCATTTGGTAAGGAATTTGTTCAGTATTCTTTGTTTGCATTAAAGCTACTAAATCTACAAGGTCAAACTTTCCAACAACTTAAGTATCAAGTTGCATAGGAATTAAAGCTTACCTAATTAAGCAGAGGTTTTATTTCTCCAAACTTTTAAACAGATTAGCCATCCATAAATACACAAACAAAAGCTGCATGCTAAAATTTCAACAAAAGTTAGACTATGATTAAGCTTTTATAACCAGAAACCCCATGCCATGATCATTAATTAACCCTCAGATATAATGCAGTTGCATGGATTAACTAAACAAGTGTGTAATTTCATTTTTTCTGCTGTAGAACAATATTGTTTAACAACCTTGTCTATTGTATGTTGGAACAATAGATATTATTTGGACTGTGAGAATTAACTGCAATAATTTTAATTTAATTATTGATTGCTATTGAATATTGCTACTACTTTCTATGATTGTTAGGTAATCAACACTTGAAGCGAGTGGCTTTTTGCAGTTGTGAAAGCCATGCTGTGACACTACTCCGGTTGCATTTCTGGCCTGGCTCTCCGAAAGGCCTACTATTGGCTTTCATTTTAGAATTATGGATTTAGCTGAAAAGTTGTTTCTACATAATCAGGTTCCTTTGAAGGATTTTTCTGAGATAATCATGGAATTACTTCCATCACTGCAATCTGTTCATGTAAGTATTCAAAACCCTAAAATATAATATACAGAATTACTTTTCAATCATTCAGTTGCATGTATTCCACCCTTATTTTTCTAATTAGTTTAGAGCCAAAATATCAATTTTGGAAGGAAAAAAATTTAGACTGAAAAACTATTTTCTACATTTCAGGTTAAATCCTTTTACCGCACTTTAAATTCTGGATCTTTTGAGGAATACAGGTATGTACACTTTATTAAGTCATGCCTATTGATATATACCCTCTCTTTTACTGGCACACCCCAGTTATATTATACTTTATATTACATTTTGCAATTAGTATGATTAGTACAATTATTATAATAGTATAAAAGATATAGGTACCGGTATTTTTTTTTCTTTTCAAGATATTTTAAATACAAATTAAAATATCTGGATTCCTATATCCCAGGGCTATATAACGGTGTCATTTGTCCTATATGCCCAACGGTAAGAAATTATTTCTTTTGTTACAGTATTTATATTTTTTTTTATTTAATCAAGGTTTGCCATTATTTTGCCATGAAGGGCTTTACAACAGCTTATCTCCAAATATGTTATAGTAACTGTCATGCATGTAGTAGTTATAGGTTAAGAGAAGAAACTCTTAAAAATAGATGAGAACCAGCTTATCTCAACTTACATTAATTAGTTAAAAACACTGATATAATTTACTTGTAATTTACATTAATTAGTGTTTCATTTAGAGATTTAGATACCTAGGTTGCATTGCATGGGATACCAATAGTAATGCACTGTATATATGTTCACCCAGTGTGGTACTCTTTCATTTCATCAATGAATATATGTTTAAGGTCAATTCTATGTATATACCTATAGGAAAGTGGAACCTTAATTGAATGTGTTGATGCATGTTTTGGTCTGCCAAGAAGGAAAGGGAAAGGTGATATAAGCATTTCTTCACGCCACAAGACATTGTTGTTCAGCGATCAAGATGATGTTGATAACTTTGTTGATAATTATGACACACAAAAGAGAAATCACAAACACAGGTAATTGTTTAAAAAGACGTTTGATTTGTTGCAAGCAATTTGTTAATGTGATTTGCAAAAAACTGTTTTAATATTATTTGTTTTTAAGGACTGTCACAGATTTCATGCTGGTGAAGTAATTTCAGCAATTAGAAGTAAAGGCAAAAATAAACTTTTTGATGAAAAAGGAGTGTTTGGCAGGGTTTGTCGGCATGACTTTCCAAAAAGCTTACTCAGCATCAAACATGGTGAAAGGTACATTCTTTTATCACTTACTATTTCACTGGTTAGCTATATTGTGAATACCCTGTTTTTATCATGCTAGACCAAATTCCATAAATAGTTTTAGAATTCTTATTAATCACATTTGATCACTATTTATATTCAGTTGTGTCAAGAATAGTAATTAGCATTAACATCTATAAGGTTTTTTTTACAGTAATCATCAACCACTTTCTATGTACCAACTATTTAAATGCACAAAAACATTTTGTGCGAATTCACCTTGTAAGTAAATTTCGCATCATTTTAGAATTTCCTATGCTGTATATGAGCTAGAAAAACTAAAGGCTGGCATTTCTGCAGAATCACTCAATTATGTTCTGATGTACGACATTGCCTGTGTTTTATCAAACCACCTGCAGGTTCTGTGTATAATTGCATTTTATTATTTTTATTTGGTATTTTCAAAAATCAGCATGATTCAAGAATTAATGATAATAATGTTCTAAATACAAGCATGCAATTTTTTTATGAAGGGCTCCGGCCAGCAGTCTTTGCTGTCGAATACAACTCTTGCAATACCAATATTTCATTGTTATGGGCATAAAGCCTCTTGCCAGGTAATTGTTTAAAAGAATTACATTTATGCGAAATGGACTGCATCTTTAGGACTTTAGAACAATTCCTTTAAGGCAGATTTCAAAGTTGTATGGCAACCGACCGTTCAAGTCCACATTCAATTTAGGTCAAATATAGTCCACGAAGAAAGGCGAATGTTGGTTTAACCGATGGAGAAGGCGTTGAGCGTTTTTGGTCATTTCTTAGACAGTTTTCCTCAATAACCAAAGAAATGTCTGTTGATAAAAGAAGTGATGTGCTAACTGACGCTACTATCCATTATGGTGAACATCTTGTTGCAAAATTTGGTAATATAATAGAAATTCAGTAAATCATTACCACTATTCGCTGTTCTTAGTGTGGATTCTCTAGGGTGCGGCCCAAGTTTATCTTTTTATTTAC